GAGCTCCTTTACTAGATTGTTGGATGTTTCTACTGCTTACAGTGCAATTGGATTCTATACTCTTTTCAGGCGTTAAAGATGATAAAGCTTACGGTTTAAGTTAAAAAGCTCTTGTACACAAGTTGATTTCAGCACAAGTAATTTAGTTGTATTCAAAGTGACGGGTGGCTTAATAAATACCCACTCTATAAAAAAAAAGTTCTTACTAGACTTGCTTCTAAACGCACCCTCCAAAAAACCCATGCAAAAACCCGACCCGACCCAACCCGGATGTTTAGTACGGGTCCTATGCGATTCGGGTCGGGTTCGGGTCAGAGAGAGCACGAACTCTTATGATTTGGGTCGGGTCAGGTAGTAGTGGAAGCCAACCCGACCCGACCCATTGACACCCCTAAGCGCCACACATCATCAACTGGTACTCTCTCTCTCCTTTTTTTGCGTGGAAGTTGACTTTTTTCAATGGCACTCTCTGTTTGTCTTGTCGAACTGGGTGTTGTCGAGCGCGGATGGGGAGAGGTACGAGAGTTGCGGGATGGGTTCCGCTCACCGTCTTGGCGTTGGCCGCGAGCGAGCTTCCTCGAGTGAGTGAGGTCGCACGGAGACCAGCCCTTGGTCAGGATTGCCGTTCACGCGACGGTCTCTGCTCTTGATGGAAGGGCGAGCAGAGACCTTGAGCTTCCTCGAGCGAGCGATGGTCTCTACTCTTAATGGAAGGGCGAGTAGAGACCAGCCCCTGGCCAGGATCGTCGACTTCGGTTCTTGGAGCAACGGCTTCAGTTCCGTTGTCACTGGTGGTGGGGGCACAAATTGCGTCCCTCGATCGGAGGAGAAGGAGCAGACGCAGGAGCCCTAAAAGCCTTTTAATTCGGTTCGATCCGAACCGAAATTGAACCGAATTGAAATAAACCGAATTGACAAAAAAAAAAGTTGGTTAATTTAGATAATTCGAATCGAAAATCGAACCGAACCGAAATTTTCGGTTCGGTTTGTATCTCGATTCGGTTTTTCGGTTTGGTTCCGATACTCCTATGTGACAATGCGAGCGACGTGACTCTAGAGAAGTTTGGATTCGACCGTCAAGCAAAGCTGCAAGTTAGTTGGGTTGGATAGCGCGCATTCGTAGCGGGGCTACTGGGCCTAGGCTTCGAAAAAACACCGGTTAAAATACGGCTCATTAGAGTAACCCATCGAGTCAATAAACATGCGGCCCGCTGGTAAAGGGATGGAGGGGTTGGGACGCTAGTATCACAGGTACGGGGTTCGACTCTCGCGTAGAGCATGAGAAGAATTAGAGATGGACAAATAAGAAAAAGAAAAATTCCCTGCTAATAAAGGGATGGGGGTGGGTCGATGAGTATGAGGTCTGGAGTTTGATTCCGGTGAGTATCGTACGCACATTTATAATATGTATTTCATGGCCATCTATGCCTCCACAAATATTATGATCTTTTTGGTTCATATACGCCAACCTCTATTTGGTCTTTTTTTTTTAACCGAGATTCGTTGACTTAGATTAGTCTTTCATCTGTTCGCTATTGTATAAAACTAGTTCGTACCTGTACTACCGACCCAAATTATGCATATTGTTCTGACCAAAAAAAAAAATTATGCATATTGCTGTGCCTTCATTCATATCTTACCGAAAGGAAGGGACAAAAACACTGCATCATGCAATTTACCGGGTCTTTCGAATCTTTTTTTTCATGCCGTTTGTAATCTAGATATACGAAAATATTCTATCGGATTGCTCGGTTCAATCAAGTACCGATCTAATTTTCAGTAATATCTATCCGGCGACCTTTATCTCCGATTCAATCTAATCCGGGCCGGGGTCCAAATCGCTCGCCGTCTGTCGGACGATTCAACCGGATCTCCCGGTCCGATTTCCTAATCACCGCCTTGGAGTGGGGAGGGGAAAAGGGTCAAGGTCGTGTGCGTGAGAAAGGGTTCAAGGTCGTGGGGATGGGAACGGCATGTGATCCACTAACTCGAACCCTCTCGAGGAGGAATCTTTTACATTTTGCCTGTCCTACGAGGAAAAGAGTCCAAAAAGGTTGCTGCTTTTGACGTTTTGATGTGGATTTCATGCTGACACACCCACTCCCCCTGCCTTTTTCCTTGACTGTCAGCTTTACAACCAAGCAAATTTTTTTTTTTATCGAATATAGTATAGATTTGGCACGTGCATGCGTAGCGAGATGATTCGGAACCTATTCCGACTTCCATTTGACAAAGCGACGGTGACGGGCTAAGTCCAAATGGACGGTAGTAGTTATGGCTCGAACCAAATCTTCCGACCACCGACACGAAACTACTGTCATAACGTCCAGGCATTTGCCGATGCTGGTCGCCCGTTTCCATCCTCTCGTTAATGAAAACACCGAACGCAAAGTCCAGTGCTCCATATGTCATTACTATCTCCATCGCGTGGGAAATTCGAGGGGGGGTGTTGGAAAACCTAGGTGGGATCATACGGTTCTAATTGCGGATCTCATACATCAATGAACGAAACCCCGCCTTCCCACCTGTTATGTCCAACCCTCATGGTTATAAATCGATGCGCAGGACATGTTTGTCATATTGACAGAGGGTAAAGGAGTGAATGTGCATTTCGGTTCGGCGGACTTTTGTTGGGCTACGGAGCAAAACATGGTTGCAGAATTGTCTCTAACGTTTTTCTTTTATATCGCTTTTTATTTATTTATTTTGTCAAGTGGGTGTGAATGAACTGACATACAACTTAATTGCGTCAAGAAAGTAAAACGAGATAGAGGAACTTCATTTTGTGTTTTATTATATGTCTGTGCCCATTACCAAATGAAAATTTAAACCATTTCTTCTTAATTGTGGCATGAGGTGCGTTTATAAATTTACAAATATTAGGACCCTTGCTGGCATGCACTTGCACATTGCCAGACGCATTGGAAAACTGTGTCCACCCAGTGCATGCCGGCCGCTTCTACAAATCAGGGCCGGAAATCAATACCGTCGGATCGCAAAAAGGAATAAATCTTGATCGATCATTGAAAAATTTTAAAAAATGTATGTGGAACACGACATATTGTGTAGGATATACGACAAAATGCAGTTAGGTACAACGTTTGTTCACATGAAAGTGAATCGATTTTTCAAGAGACCATAAAATCTCATATTATGATACACATTTAATCAACTTCTCTTCTCGCTATAGAGTTTTTTTTTCTTTTTTTCATTTTTAACTTGAGAATGTGATTGAATTTCGTGTCCATCACGTATTCTATTATCTTGATAAGCGAAACGAGAACCGGATCGAACCTCATCGGGTAATCGATTCTGATGTGTACAGACCATGCGCCCAAGTCCGTCTTACTAAAGTCAACCTGCGGGCTTAAGAATTCCTGATGACAATGATTTACCTAATAAATGATGGATATCAAATTCAGGCGACCCACCTTCTCTGCTGCTACATTTTCCCCCTTACATTAAAACTTCAAAAGCTTCACCAGATAGAACTGACATTGACCCATAAAGAAGAGTTGAGTCTTTGAAAACATCCCGAGAACGAAGAGATCTCCTGCAAAAGAGATGTTTTTTTAATCCTAAGAATAAACTAAAGTGCAGCGAGCGAGTAAGGGCGTGCATGATAACCATTCTGTTTCTGTCCAGAACTAGTTTTCTGTTCTCGGGAACAGGTTTGGAACAGAAATCAGTTTGGCAGCGCAATTCCATTTTTCTATTTATGGAACAACTTTTTGTTCCAGAACTGGTTCTGGACCAAAAATCAGAAACAAAAAAAAAAATTATGTTTCTGGACGAGAAATGAAAACCATTTCTAAAAGAACCTGTTTTCTCTCTTCAAAACACATCTCTTCCTAAATTTGGCCTCGGTCTAACCTGGTGAGACTGATCCGAACCGGTTCGGTTCGGTCCGATTCATTAATGGCGGGAAAATAAAAAAACTCTAAAAAAAATTAGAAAAATCATAAAAAATAACAAAATTCAAAAAAAAAATTAGAAAATCCGGAAAATTCCTAAAAATCTCAAAAAAAAAAATTCAGAAAATTCATAAAAATTGAAAAATTCCAGAAAAATTCATAAAAATTCAGAAAATAGGAAATTTGGTGAATTATTTCAAAAAAATCAAAAAATAAAAAATTTCAAAAGTTCACAAAATAGCTTAGAATACCTATGGGCACCCGCTTTGAGTGAAATTTAAATTTTTTGAGGTGCCTAAATGATATTTTTGAAGACTCCTTAGTTTAGGGATTTAAAAGGGGTTTTAACCCCTAAAAACTTTAAAAGGGGTTTAACCCCAAAAGGGGTCTTTACCCCTAAAAAACCCTAAAACCTTAAAAAACAACACAATCCTTTGAATGAATAAACCTTTACGGCTTTACTAGGGTTTGAGTGTTTTGATTGATTTTCATTTTAGAGATCATTTCTAAAAAAATGGATTTCAGTTCCGGGAAATAGAAATTTGTGTTGTTATCAAACAGGTTTATGTTCTAAGAAATAGAAATTTTATACTGTTATCAAACGGGTTTCTGTTCCAGAAATAAAAATTTTTTGTTGTTATCAAACGAGTTTCTTTCTTCATAAATTCATCCTGGGAACGGAAATAGAAAAATCTATTTCTATCCCAGAAATTATTTCTGAAACAGAATGGTTATTATTCGCGCTCTAAAGTTTCCGACTTTCCCTCACTGATGGTGTTAATTACAGCTAAAACCGTTTCCGTACCTTTTCGAATCCTTCGAACTGAGGAGCCAATAAAAGAACTTGTCTTGGAGGGAGAAATTCCAAGAGCCCACGCATTGCATCCCTCAAATCTCCTGTACAAGAATGCTGTATTGAACTACGAGCTCGGACCCAGTAGAACACTTGAGAAAAAGATACTGCAAAATAGACAAAGTTGTAGCAAACGAGGTCTGTTCGGGTGTGCGGCGTTGCTGGGAACAGAGAGAAGCTGCCATTACAGGTCCCTATCATCTCTCTGAACTTCCGGGATCTATTTATTTTTTATTTTAATGCAGTACCCATTTCAAATCTTTGTCCCAGGGTTACAAAGCTTGTGTTTTTAGTAAAAAGGACCACTTTACTTAGTAGGAAAAAGATGGGTTTGTGGGGGGTTTTGTCTGGAGGAGCGTTATTCTAAGATGGGTGTTTTGTTTTTGGTCGAATGAGATGGGTATTTTGTAGTGGGAAAAGAGTGATAATTTTTCCACAGGCCATTTAGTCTAGACTGGAAGAGTGTTATTCGGAGTCTTCTGGTTTCCAGCTTCAGCAGTGAGTGTTATTCGGGGTCTTCTGGTTTTCCAGCTTCGGCAGTGAGTGTTCTTCGGGGTCTTCTGGTTTCCAGCTTCCCCTGCGTGATTTTCTACTTCTGAGCTGGTTTTGTGCGCAGGAAACTGAGTAAGTTGAGCTATTTTCCCTCTTGATTTCTCAATCTCTGCATCTTTGGGGCCTCTCAATCTTTCAGGTCTAGGCATCTATGTCTCTCCCGGCTCAGTTTCTTCATCTGTCGTGTTCTCATCGTCCTGCTTTTGGAGGTTTCTCCAGAATGGTCTGTAGATCACGACTCTCACTTGAGCTGGTCGCTGATTCTTGTAAACTATGCTTATGCAACAATGGAGAAGCTACTTTGATGCCCTATTATGGCATTTGACATTTTGGAGATCCTGACTAAGAGCTTATTCAGCTGGCCCTTCATAGTTCCGGCACTATATAGCTCATTTCTAAGTTTAGCTGCATTACAGTTGGACAATATGTTTCTGGGCTGTTTGATTTTGGTGCTGTCGGATCCTGTCATGGACCTCGAAATTTCTCGCCCTTTGCGGCATACTTTGTGAATTTTGTGCTTGAACACAATGCGTTATGCGTATAGAGTCAGACTAATCAGTGACTGCAAAGTTGAATTAAAGTAAGTTAGTTACACCTACAAGAAGGAACAGAAGAAAAGGACCGGACGAATTGAAAATCATTGTTACTCGCATCTCTAGACTGTAGTGAACTTATCAATTGAACTGGAAGTTATAACGAACTGCAACTATTGTCCCTAATTCCATTTCATGATATGTCTTCCAGTTCCAATTTCTAAACCATATATGGCGAAGTATTACTTTTGTGTACTATTTGGCAACGTTGGATAATAGTCGTACCAGATGTGCTTCAGAGATAATTCATTTTATTTGTTGAAAGCAGGCTGCTATTCCAGATAATTTAGCTCAATAATCCTAGCAGGTCATCTTGGCATGATTTCTCTTAAGGCACTGAAGCTCTGAAAAGACACATTTAAGATTCAGCATAACTCTCTCTTTTCCTTTTGGAATTTTAGAGAGATATTTCAGGTTGGTAGCTGCAAATGCAATTAATGATGGGAAAGGAAAAGGAAGATTCTCGTAATGCATTCTTAAATTAGAAATATTTTCTCAGCATAGGCTTTTTGGTGCTTGGAGATTGGTCAATTTTGTACATATAATGTACCTAATGAAGGTATATTGGTTTCCTTTATTGTTGGGAAGTAGGTTGTCAGTTTACTCAATGGTTTATAATAAACTTTGTGGACTTGGATAAGATGAAATAAACTTAGCTCTTGGGGCACTGGTGAGTTGTTACTATAAACCAATACTTCATAATCAATGCTATTTAGATGGAGATTTTAGAATATTTAAATATTAAACCACACATTCATCTAATAGCTTAATTTTGTAGAGCAATTAGCCGTGGTCCCGCAAAATCTTTCATGGTATTAGAGGAGGAGATCCTGCAAGTTAGAACATTTAAATCTTAATTCACGCATTCATTTATTGGTTTAAGCTTTTAGAACAATTGGCCATCCCACAAAATATTTGGTTGAGATAGATGAGCTGGTTGTCTATTGTACAGCTCTTCGGGGGTTTTTACGCTCTTTTTGCTAGAAGTAGCACGTGACATGGCATTTTCTGTTATCATTTGTGCCTTCCGTTTTTGCCTTCATCTCCATGTAATCTCGACCCTTGGTTGAAATTTGAATACAGTCTCTAACCACGCCTCGTGGAAAATTCATTGGATTTGCAGTTTAAGCTCCATTAAAGGCGACAGAAGAGGGTGGAAGGTTTCGTTCCCCATTTTCTGGATATGATGGGTGAAAGAGGGCTGGGGAGAATTCTTCTGCTTCTACTTTCATTCTTGCCCATTGCCTTGGGTAATTCAGAAACCCTCCCGGGTTCTTTTAGTCCTATTAGCTCTTATTTGTCTGCTGAATCATTTTCTGCATGTAATGCCTGTGCGACATCGTGCTTCAATGGTTTATTTGGCCCTGTGGGGACAAACTAATCCAATCATGTAGAATTTGCAGTCGTCATAGAGGGGATTCGATGGGCAATTTTTGCATGGCTATACTTCCTAGCCGTGACTTATGAGCATAGTCATACAGTGTTAAGGTTTATACAATAGGAATGCATACCTAAGGTTTTATTAGCTTGATATTACATGAGAGTGTCATCAGTGGATATAGATTCCCATTGAAGCTGATGATAGTGGCAGTGTCCCTAATGAAAAAGATGTTTTGTTATTGTTGGTCATGATTATATTCTGCTTCACAATTCTATGTCCCTATTTAATCATGTGTTTTTCTTTTTCTTTTCCCATATGGTTGAAAGTGGATAAGCTCTTGACCTTAACAGTTTCATGTTCACTATGGATTAAACAAGTCTACTGACCTTCTCTATTGGAAGCTGCAATCTGCAAATTCATGCAATTATATGCTTGACAATTTGCTGAGCCCCTTCACTCCCTATGATCTTGCAATCTCTCTTATTCATTCATCTTTACTTGACATCACAAGCACATGAAGTCAGCAGGCTGCATTTTCTTCTATTCCTGAAATATATCTTGAACTGATACATCAGGTGCATTTGTGGGAATAAACGTCGGTACCCTTGTTTCTAACCTGCCAGAAGCTTCAGATATAGTAGCAGTCTTAAAATCCCATGAGATAACTCATGTGCGACTTTATGATGCCGATGCTCACATGTTAAAAGCCCTTGCTAACAGCGGGATTGATGTCATGGTTGGTGTCACAAACGAGGAAGTTTTAGGGATTGGAGAATCTCCAGCAGCAGCGGCGGCTTGGATTAACAAAAATGTTGCCGCTTACCTGCCTGCAACTAATATAACTGCAATTGCAGTTGGCAGCGAAGTTCTTACTTCAATACCTCATGCTGCTCCGGTTTTAGTTCCGGCAATGAATAACCTTCATAAAGCTCTGGTTGCCTCTAATCTCAATTTTATGATTAAGGTCTCGACCCCACAATCAATGGATGTGATTCCGAGGCCCTTCCCTCCCTCCACCGCGGCCTTCAACTCTTCATGGAACTCTACGGTGTACCAGCTGCTTCAATTCCTGAAGAACACAAATTCCTCGTACATGTTGAATGCTTATCCATATTATGGATATACTCAAGGGAACGGGATTTTCCCACTTGATTATGCTCTTTTTCGACCACTGCCTTCAGTGAAGCAGATTGTTGACCCGAATACCCTTTTTCACTACAACAGCATGTTTGATGCCATGGTCGATGCTACTTATTATTCTATCGAGGCCATGAATTTTTCTGGGATCCCTGTTCTGGTGACAGAAACCGGCTGGCCTTGGTTTGGTGGATCAAATGAACCTGATGCGACGGCAGAAAATGCCGAAACCTTCGGCAACAATTTGATCAAGCGGGTGCTTAATGGCTCAGGTCCACCTAGCCAGCCAAATGTGCCGATCAACACATACATCTATGAGTTATTTAACGAGGATAAGAGACCGGGACCCGTGTCGGAGAAAAATTGGGGTGTGTTTTTCACCAACGGGACTTCTGTGTATCCTCTCAGCTTGGGCACATCCAGTCGAGTCACGGGGAACTCTTCCGGGGTCTTCTGCATAGCGAAGCTGGATGCAGATTCCGACAAGTTGCTAGATGGGCTAAACTGGGCTTGTGGTCAAGGTCAGGCTAACTGCACGGCTATTCAGGTAGGACAGCCGTGTTACTCGCCCAACACCGTGGTGAACCATGCTTCGTATGCCTACAATGACTATTATCAGAAGATGCAGAGTGTTGGTGGGACGTGCGATTTTCAGGGCACGGCTATGACTACTACGGTCAATCCTAGTGAGTTTCTATTTTTTTTTTTATGTTTATTCTTCTCTGCGGAGGACAACTGGGATTGTGCATACGAACTGTCTGTCTTCCCCTTTTTTATGAGGCGCACACATGTTTCATGGTGGGAGAGGATTGCAGATGGGCAGTGAATCATCACATCAGTGATCTTAACAGAAAATGATGTGTGGATGTGTTTTCTTGTCCTCATCAAAAAGTTGCATGTCATTAGGACTGATTCATAGACCACTTTGCTAAAGCTTTGGGTAGTTTATCGACTCTAAATATCCTGCTTTGCTAATATTGGCACATATAAAGGGCTAAATATGCGTATCCTTCCTGCAATACTTAGAGAGGTAGCTTTCCTCTCATGTTTTCCTTCGACTTTCTGACTTGCTGTGATGTAAATGCAGGTTATGGATCGTGTAAATTCGCTGGGAGGTGAGAAAATTTTAGTATATCGCTGAAAGATCTGTCCTGCTGCCATCATTTTATATTTATTTAGTTGATGCTGCGTTTGTTCTGAATGTGTTCCCTATATGTGTATGCTTTTGACAGTTCAAACTCGAGCTCCAATGTGATCACCCCGTCCGCGTCTGCACCTTTCAGTCCTATAGGCGGAGGTTCACCAACTTCAGCTGTGCTAGCCTCCGAACTAAAGTACGTGATTTGGGCTATCTCCGTTGCTCTAATGTCGCTTTGACGAAGGGGCATGGGCCCTATTCGGCTAGAGCAGTCGATAGCGAGTTACCGGTAGATCTCGGCTGTGATGTAATTGGTGGGAGATTCTTGAGCTTAGTGAGGGTTCTTGTTCATTCATCCCTTCTCATTTTTTTGTATGCGCTGAGAGATCCTTCTTCCGTTGAGTTCCTCCTTGTCTATTTTATGTCACTGTAGCATTTGATTCTAGAATCTGTGGATAGAGCATGATTCTTTGGAGGGGGGGGAGATGAGAATGGACCAATGTGACTGGCGATTGCCTTGCCTGCTTGCAAATTTCCTCTAAAATCAGCCACCAAATTATGGTGGAGAAGTGAGATGGTGTCCTTCAAATTCATCATAAGCATATCCCAACCATATAGTGTTGCAAAATGTATGATTCAATCTTTACCCAAGCAAATTCTATTACCATTGATTTGGATGATTAGTTCAGTTGTAAAAGCATGACTATCGATATCGATGGCGACGGAGATGAGTCACGCAGAATAAAGTAAACAGGATATGTGCACTGTGCACAAAGTATGATCCCATACAAAGTAACACTTGAAACATTTTTCAAGATGTTCGTTGAAATGTTTGAGTAAACATTCCATCATACCACATGAAAAATTGTCACATGCTATCCAACCAGGATCATATTGCATAGGAATATACTTCTTTTTCTCTCTTTGAAGTGGTTAATAGGAAAATTCAGCATTATTAGCTTTCAATTAATAAAACATATAAAACTTAAATTAAATTAGAATATAAAATCCATACAAATTTAGCATTAGCATTTGGGAAGATGACACAAATGGTACTTGAATCTTGGCTGAATGTGCAATATGGTCCATAAATTTTTTATTTGTTCGAGGTGGTCCCTAAATTTTAGGCCAATGTAATAAAATCCATGAATTTTTAGAATATGTTTAATTTAGTCTCTGAATTATATAAAAAAGTTCAATGTCGTCTCCGATCTTGAATTAATGGAAAGATTATATCGAACATTTTCATATAGTTTATGGACTATATCGAACATGTACCAAAAGTTCAGGGACCACATTAAACATTAGGCTAAAGTTCAGGGACCATATTAAACAAAATAAAAGTTTAGAGACCAACATTACATATTGGGCCAAAATTCAAGGATCATTCGTGTAATTATCTCTTAGCATTTCTAGATAAAAGAGTCCCACGTGGGAGTCGGTTTCGAATCAGAACCGGGTTGAGTTCCAAGAATGGCAATCGAGCCGAACCGTGAAAGAAAAGGAGGGGGTTAAGGCGAAAGAGAACCAACCTTCGACTGTTTACGAGCTCTCGCGCGCGTTACCTGGGGGAAGATGAGGAGCTCCGGGATGATAGGGTCGTCGTCGGCGACGGCGTCGTCGGCGACGGCGTGGGCGTCGACGACCTCGGTGTCGTCCTCGGGGAAGAGGATACAGAGGGAGATGGCGGAGCTGAACCGGGACCCGCCTCCCTACTGCTCCGCCGGCCCCAAGGGCGACAATCTCTACCACTGGGTCTCCACCATCATGGGCCCTCCAGGTTCGTCTCTCTCTCTCCCTCTCAGTCCTCGAGCAACCTAGGGTTTCCGTCCGGGAGCTACGAGCCTTGCTTGGGGGGTCGCTCTGATCATGGCCCTTCCTTGCTCTGTGGAGCTCTCAGTTTTTTAGCTAGCGATTTGGGACATGTGGTGATTCTGAATTCTCTGTTGCTGAATCTGATGTTTCCTTAATGGGTTCAGCTCAGCTTCTTTTGTTATCTACTGTCCTGATAGATAATCTCCTGGGTATTTGCAAACAATTTGGTTGATGGGCTCGGATTCATAGAGCTTTGCCTCGCCTTTTTGAGGTTAATGACCTCCTGAATCTATTTCCTTGTGTCTGCAAAATCGTTGCGGATTCTTCGGCTATTGCTGCCTCGTCTTGCTTGGCCGGTCTGCAATTTTACGTCTTAGATAAACAGCATTTGTCATCTTGATTGATTGGTATTCGTGAGATCCTGCTAATGATTTCCTTGGTGTGATCTGTCGTGTCCCTTCTCCTCTAGTTTCGACGAGTTGATATGGTTTGCGAGATCCTTAGTTTTCTGTAGTGGCATGACGAGCATGCTCTGACGGATGTTTCTAGGTACACCGTATGGAGGAGGAATTTTTTTCCTTGACATAACTTTTCCGAGTGATTATCCATTCAAGCCTCCGAAGGTATGTCGCTTTTGTTGATTATCTCCTTAAGTTTGTCAATGGAATGTCAATTCTCTTTTGTAATTTGATTAAATTGGAGTAGTTTGGATATATGTCTATTGAAGTCAAGTCGGTTCGCAGGTCGCATTCAAAACTCGAATTTACCATTGTAATGTTGATTCGTCCGGAAATCTTGGATTGGACATCTTGAAGGATGGTTGGAGCCCGGCTCTTACAATTTCTAAAGTTCTTCTTGCCATCAGATCGATTTTCACGAATCCTGATCCCCGTATGCTTCTATTATTCCATTTGTTTGACTCACTATATCTGCAATGTTTCTTACCTGCTATGACAGTGTGAATTTCTTAATTGGTCGCGGAACTGAAACAGATTTTTGATCTCACACATTTTTTATTTATGTTGCAAGCAAGAAACTCAGAGTGGGCTTGAAGGAATTTTTCTTGGAGCACCACCACTCAAATGCTCTTTCATAGTAGTTTGTCCTCCAAATGAAAATGCATCATGCCTCATTCGAATGCTCTCTTGGTGCAGATAATCTACTGGTTCCTGGCATTGCCCATCTGTACATGGTGGACCGGCCTAAACATGATCAACTGGCTGCTGAATGGACACTGCGATTCGCGAAGTGATCGAATTCATTAGATGGAAAGAGCAGACTACCTTGGCGTGCAACTCTTACCACAGAAGACGACAGGGTTGGCAATATGGCACGACCTAAACAACCATCTTGATTTTGAGACTTGTCGAGATGAATATGATGCACGCCTCCTGCTCCAGCATCAAGCCTTTCTCGGGTGAGTTCGCGTATAATCAGTGGCAACTTGTAAATTGCAGCTTGTCTACTTTTAGTTTTGGTGAGCAGATGTAACGGGTGAGTTAACCTTCGGCAAATGCGGCCGCTAAAATCGCTGCTGAATGGTCGTTGGGAATGGAAATATAGCTGGTGAATGATGATGAAAAAGAATCCATCGTAACCAAATAGATCTGTTACTTTGGGTGCATGTCGATCGACTTGGCAATTGTGCCTCTCCATGTTCATTTGTCTTTTCGGGCTTTTAGCTTATGTACTCTGTCCTGGTGTCAAAAAATAATTGTAGCAGGAATTGAAGAGATATTGTATGGCTGTTGAAAGTAGCCCTTCTTTCATCATCACAAGCAATGTCACGGCACATCTTGGAACCGTGTACCAAGATCACGCTAATGCCGAAAGAAAGATCAGTTTCTAGCAATTCAGCAGCACGATCTTCTCTCTTGGCTTATGATTAGTAGCACTTTGGTTTTCTGCACTGATGATAATACCCGCCACTGGATCTATCATTCTGTGTACCGATACATACATTGCGCTTTTGATCAGTTGCCATCGTCAAATAAGTACAATTTTGAACAATGCTGCGATCCGGAATCAAGGATCTAAGCATCAATGGATCCCCTACCGTCTATAGTGAAAAGGGCTATAAGAACCAAGTTTCTAGAAGCGAATGCGGGTACCCATTTTCTTTAAGGCGCTGGAATTGGGAGGTGCACGCAGTTTACTTCTCTGACAGATGTTGCGGAGGATTGTAGATGTTAAAGGACTTTCTGCTTTGATGATCGACAATAAGGTTCGGTTTGGTAATCATTTTTTTTATTCTGTTCCCGAAAATAATCTCTAAGTATTTAAAGGTATTTGGTAACAACCCAAAATTTTCATTCCTGAAATAGAAAAAGAACAGCATTTAGTAACAGCACAAAATTGCTTTTTATTAATAATATTTTAATATTTTTTTTTCTTTTTTCTTCTCTTCTCTTTCTTGGCCAGCCAGAGGCTAGGGCCAGCGAGGGCGTCGCGGCCCTGGCCTATGGCCGGTCGTCGGCCACCGGCCACATGCCAAGAAAGAAGAAGATAAAATATTTATCAAACGGATTTATATTCTTTTTTATTTCGAAAAATAAAAGAATAGAATCGAATATTATTTGGCCGGTTATCAAACATGCCCTAAATGACGGGTACCTACGGTCTTCCTCGTCGTTTTCAGTTTTCCTGGGAAGTCGCCAATTCTTCTGCGCCCATCAAATCTGGGCGTTTCGGTCAAAACCTTGCCTCCCGACTAATCTGACTTTTTGAATGTGATCATCAGCGTTCTGGAAATTTCAATGTGGTGTGTGCATGCACAACAGTGCTTCGTCGAAAATATTCCAGGCACGCTTGAGACTTCAGTCTCAAAACTCAATTTTTTTCTGAGAATTCCATCGTCTTGGGTGCAATCATTCGTCTATTTATATTGTACAAAAGGGGGGTTTTTTCAACATTGGATGACTGTAAAATCATTTCGAATTCAAAAGCATTGCCCCTATATTGGGATCAGCGACCTCTATTGTATCTGTGGATTCAATGATAAAGACCCGGAATCGTTTGTCGCTACATCGTATTAGTCATTGGATCTGTAGATACCACTAGAGATGAGATCGAGTCAAGCTGCTCGCGAGTAGTTGGGGTTCGAATTGATGATTACTTGAGATCGACTTGCTTAATCTCGAGTCAAGCTCGAGCTCGAGCTGCTTGAGTATCTTCTTGAGTTGAGCTCGAACTCAAGCTCATCAATTCCCAGCTCGATTAAGCTGGAGGGCTTGTTGATAAACATGAAAATCTTCCATTATTTCTTAAAAAAAAATATCTGATAGTTGTATCGATAAACATGAAAATCTTAAAAATTACATGGTATTCAAACTCATTGAACTCGAGCTTGAGTTCACTTATAAATTGACCCCGACAGATATAAGTCAAATCAAGCTTGAGGCTAGGCTTTCAAGTCATTACTCGATCGAGCTCGAGCTCGACATCTATGGACTCGACTCGATTCCTCTACGCGCCCCCCCCCCCCCCCCCCCCCCCCCTCGCGAGACCCTCCAGTCATACAAAACCGATATGCCGTCGAGCGGGAGGGCGCGACGAAAGATATTCATAGAAGGAACAAAATCTCAGTTCGTTTGCTTATCTAGCTGGAAAGAGTTTTACCTCCATACCTCCATAATAGAATCTGTCATAGAAAACACTAGAGACAACAGCTGCGGAATTTCCTATGTTACAGTTCATAACCTCGGCATGTGCATCCGAATAGTCGCGGGCATGTGCAAGAGCCGAACATGCTCCCTCTCGTCACCAGTCACTAACTCCATGTGCGGCGGCTGCAGTTGACGAAAAGATCAAATTTTTTTAAGAGGGTCAGAGTATTTTTTTTTTTTTTGGGTCGAAAAAGGGTCAGAGTTTGAATTCTGCAAAATATGCAAATTCCAATTCGGAACGCATGTTTGTTCTTGAGGAAGAATCTTCTTCAAACGCGACTCTCACGCTACGCAATCTAGACTTTCGAACGCCGTCGTCGGCAATTTCCTTCATCCAATGAGAGTGACTTAAGTTTCGGTCCAGATGGGCTACAATTTTCGAGGGCAACAACATGAGCCAACATAGATAAATAAATATATAAATGATGACGGATCTTACGCGGTCAAACTTTTTTTTCGGACACTTCACTCTGATCAAACATTTTTCAGAAATTTCGTGCACGGAAGGGCGTGATCGAAGGAAGAATTGGTCGCTGTAAAAAGGATTGCTCGTCGTGATTAATGGGTTAAAGACCAACAGTGACAGGCCTAGTGCTATGCTCGGGGAAGTGGTTAGAAGGGACTGTGATGATGATGATTGATTTGTGTCGTGATGATTTCTTCGGTTATGTGTCACTCCATCACCAGTCGCTTCGTGTCTTTTGGGAAGGAGAATCATATGACGTTTGTTGAGAGCAGGTCAAAGGTTTTGCACCAAACAGAACTAACCCAAGTCGTCATCAATTCTCAAATCAGTTGATTGATTATCATGTGCAAGTATCATTAGGTTCGCATCGGCACATCTCTCGATTCGTATCGATTTCATGAAACTAACCCCGGTTCCCTTCTGTCCTGTCGGATCAGCTTAGCGATGTGATCCAAACTCGGCATCAAAAATAAGGAGAGAAGGAGAGAAATACATGAGGAGGATATGGAAATATCAAATACCCTTTGAAAGAATTCTGTAAACAGAAGTAGGAGGGAAATTTAAAACATTCTCCTCCCTTTTACTTTCCTCTGCGTATCCAAACATAAGTAATGTCCACATGAATCAAATCACACTTTACCTCTTTTTATTTTCGCCAATCCTTATCGCTTGTCGCCGTTCACATCTTATCATAGGATTTTTTTCCTTATCATGTAAATTTACCTATCGTTATCCATTAATTTTACCCACATGATTCTCCAATTTTATAATGCCCACTTCCTTCAGAGCCCCTATCACCCTGCGGCATAAGAAAGCCCCCCTCCTTTTCCGTACGGACAAAACTATGTTTTGTTTTGGTTACTCCCGAGTAACATTCGTCGGGCGGTTCGCGTGCGCGGCCGAGCATCCACCAAATCGCTATCACCCGAAATCGCTATCACCCGAGTTTCGACTTGCGCCTTATCGGGCTCACAAAGTTCGCGATTTTACCTCGTAGACCCGATTTCGTTCCGCCCCGAAGGACACTCGAAAGCATACGATCGAGAACTCATCATTGCGCTTCTCGCGACGTTCGCTTCCGATCATCGAAGCAATGTAATAGCTCAACGACCAAAGGGTTGATGCGGGCTTTTGCTTTGAATGCACTTTTCACCATAGAAGTCCTCACAACACGTTCTCTGCGTTTTTCCCGACAAAATTGCTCAACTCAGTGTGTAATTATTTACATAAGCAGAATCGAAGCAAAAGCAGCAATACAACCGACAGCATCTCTCGTTCTATATAGCCTTGATGGAAGCCTAAAGCAAAAAGACTCAAAACGCTCCGAGCCCAAATGGCTCTTTCCTTCTTCTACCGCCCCCTCGTCGCCGTGCAAAACCCGGAGCCACTGGCGGACGCGAGAGTCAAAACTCCGGCGCGATCAAATCTCCACGCAGCAACCCGATTGGACGAACCCGCCGAACCCGTCGGGCACGTCGCCGACCCGCTCGAATTTGCCGCCCTGCCCCGCCCTCACGTAGAACCCCTGCGCCGCCCCCTGGTACTCCGACCCGGTCACCAGGGTCATGTCCCCCACCGCCACCCCGCTCGGCCCGACCTGGACCCTCGAGTCCGAATCGGCCCAGCTCACTATCCTGCCGTCGCTCCCGAAGCCGCCGGCGGACGACCTCGGGCACCGGCCCGCCTCCCACACCCCCTCGGCCAGCCTCCACTCGCCGCCGGCGAAGGCCTCGGCGCTGCCCTCGAACTCGCCCTGGCTGTCCGTGCGGTACCCGCTCACCACCCAGAACTCGCCGCCCACCACGATCCCCTCGCACTCGTCCCGCTCCCGGGTCATCGGGGGCAGCTCCGTCCACTCGTCCCCCCACGCGTCGTAGGCCCACGCCGTCCTCAGCGCGTTCTTGTTCTCGTCGTGGCCACCGGCCACGTAGATCCGGCCCCCGTGCGACCCGACCGCGAAGAACGACCGCTTCGACGGCATGGGCGCGCACCGCCTCCACCGCCGCGACGCGAAGTCGTAGAGGAACACGTCCGTCACCGGGTCGTAGCTCGCCGGGTCCCAGCCCCCCATGACGACCAGCTTCCCGCCCTCGCAGCCGGCGACCTGGCAGAACAGAGGGAGCCCGCCCGGGTACCCGGGGACCGGGTCGAGCCGCTCCCAGGCCCGGCCGACCGGGTCGAACACGGTGACGGCGTAGCCGGGGGAGTCGGTGGGCTTCGACCCCCCGCCGGCGGCGGTCGCCTCGGGCGGGGGCGCGGGGCGGGGGAGGGCCTGGACGAGGCAGGCGACCTTGCGGGTGTACCCGAGGTGCCGGCGGTGGTGGTAGAACTCGCGGCTCTCGAGCAGCTGGTGCCAGCACCGGCAGACCCAGGAGGCGACCCGGTGGGAGGGGTGGGGCAACCGGGTCAGGCACTCGAGCCCGATCTCGCCGGGCAAGCCCGGAACCAGGTCGCTCAGCTCGAAGCCTTCCATTTTTTTCTCGCCTTTTTCTTCTTCTCTTCTCTTCACGGCGCTCTCAAGTTCGAAGCGGAAGGGAGGGGTCGTTTCGGTCCGTCTGTTCGAAACCGGGTGTTTCGGGCGCTGCGGGAGGAGGGCACCCGGGTATTTATACGGGGCGGTCGGGATAGTTGGGGGGAGGCAGGGAGAGCAATCAGGGGCCGACACGTGTCGGGTGGTGGGGGCCGGCGTGACGTGGCGATCGGAGCAAGAGAAAAGTTATAGCCGATCTCGCAAATCCTCTCCGATTTATTGCGATTTTCTTTTACCATCGTTAATGGGGTACGGTCGGGGGGAGGACACGGAAAGTAAGGTGTGGGAGCTCGGAGTTTTGACCGGTGGTTAGAACTTAGAAGAGGGGTGTGTGCTTCGGGCGAGATTGATGGAGCGGAGAGGATAAGGAGGGAGGGGAGAGGAGGGGGGCTCGCCCCGACCCGAGCCTGACGGGGACGTCGGCACGTGACATGCGCGGTGGGGACCGCCCGGACATGTCGCGCGGCCTACGGTGGTGGTGGTGATGGTGATGACGATGGAGCAGAGAGAGAGAGAGAGAGAGTGGGTGGGGGGGGCACGTGTACGGCAGGTGACATGTGGCGGATAAGGGGATAGAGGAGACGCCGATTGCTGACGTGTTTGAGCTGGCGGGGCTTATCTAATTTAGGGGGATGAGCTCGACGGAGGGGGGAGCTTTCATGGCGGTAACAGTAACAGGGGTGAGCAACGATTCAGAGTTGACTCTGAACCGACAATTTGGATCGGGCCAATCCAGCCGATCCTGATCCGGTTCTCAAGAGACTGAATTGATCTTTGATCCTGAAACCTCTAGAATCTGTACTGTACAGATTGATCTTCTATCCTAAGAGTTTATGATTGGTCCGAATTGGATCAACCATATATATTATTATTTTTTTTTTTGGTAAATAACCATATATATTATTTATTTATTTATTTTCCAAAAAATCTGAGGCCTCTCCCTCCTCCTCTTATGGTGTTGAAAATAAAAACTCTATTAACTGTTGAGTGTCACCTCTCTCCTTCCCTCGCTTCTCTGTGGCTGTTCGCTAGATCTGTCTCTCCTCGTTTGCCTCACGAACTAGCTTGCCTCTCTTGGGCCGCCTCGGCGCCTCACGAACGACGAATGCAGGTCCCCTCACTTGGCCCTCCTCGGCGACTCATGGCCGATCCCCCTGAGGCAGATATGGAATCACTTTTGTTTTGTTTTCAAGTGTTCATAAATTAAAGTAATCTTTTGAGAATGAATAAGATATGAAATTGTATAATTTATGGTTTATGTTATGTATTTTTACCATTTTATTTCATGTGTTCGTATATTACTAAGTGGAGATTTTTGTTGTTGCGCTATCTTAGATTTTTATTTGATTTGTACCGGGGTCCATAATTTGGTTACTCAATATTGCATTGTCAATGGATATATATTTTCAAAGTGTACCGTTTGTCCTTTCAACAAATAAAAAAAACGAAACATAAAAAAAATCGATTGGTCCCAGGTTGACTCTGGAACCGGACCGGACCCAAAGGGTCAGTCCAGTCCTCGATCCCAAGCTCAATAGGGTTGGTCCTCGATCCCAAAAATTGGGGATCAACACTGTGCGAATTGGTCCTAGGGTTAAGTGTTGGACCGGCCCAATTCGGATCATACTCACCCCCAGTGGTAAAAAGGGGAGGGGAGGGGCGTACTGCCATTCGCTCCTTTGGCCCACCCCCTATCGCGTCCATCCCGATTTTTTGTGGGGTTTTTTTTTTTTTTGCATTTGTTTTGGATATAAAATTACGATCAATCGTGTGAATTGGTGCCGCAATCTTTAAGAATACATCAGAATGGAGATCACAATTTACAACAGCAGCGTGGTACATTTTTCAGCAATTATTCGATTGTATGTTAGTGTCACGTGATTTTTGGCATCTTTTACAACCAAAAGCAAGCTTAAAATGTGAGACTTTCCATCATACTTATAAACTAACCACTAGCTCCATCCACAATTGATGTAAGAATCTCTCCTTACACATCGGGTTTATTGGGATTTTGGAACCAAAATCCCATAATGAGAACGGTAAGGCACATGCAAAGTTGTCCCACATAAGTAGGTTATAGATGAGATGCTCAAATACTGAGCCTCACAACGGCTGGGCCCCAAGAGACTCCCACTTTTGTGGAAGAGAAAGGACCTACGCTCAAGCTAGGTCGGTCCAAGCACGCCGCCGCCCGTCCGGCCGGTTCGGTTCGGCTCTCTATCGGTTTTTATTTTTCCCGAACAGACACGTTGTTTAGAATTTATTTATTTTTTTATTTTTTGACAAATAAACATGTCTCTGTGAGGTTCGGTTCGCACGAATGGAAAACCGAAGCCCCTCGCGATCGGTTCAAGTGAACCTTCACTGTTCACGAAAATTCGCAACTCTTCATTTTTCGCCACTTGAATAAGACCGAACAGTTTAGTTTAGAATAGACATCACTTTGTGGGATTCATTTTTTTCCCGACGCACTCTACGCATATTCACTTCATCATTGTCATTTGGTGCGATTGTCGCAAAATTGCGTTCGTTGGAGTCTTCAGATCACATACCGCTTCGGAGGAACGAGATCCGTTCTATCCTGGGAGACGATCATGTCAATATCCTCAGTAAATGCATTGACACGGGGCCAAATTCGTCTTGAAGGACACGACGTTAATCTCGATCGCCCGGATCAACATTCTCGCTTATTCGTCATTACATTCGCCGTGTTAGTCTTCTTTCCTAACTACCGATTTTAAACTTCGATATAATCTCTCGATATACGAACCCATTCCACAATCAAAAAGGGTCTCCTGGATGTGGACCTTGTTAAAGAGCCGCCCACTTTCCCTCGAAGCTAAAATTTTTCTCTTTTTAAACCACCATCAACCCAGTCCACAATCGTCCAAAACCTGTTAAACCCCCGGGCGCACGACAAAAAATCTAAGATAGATCTGAATGTGTATCGTGCATAATGTATAAAGAGACAGCTTTCACCCGAGTCGAATATAACCGCTATAAAAAAAAGAGAGTTTTCGATGACTAAAGTATTCGGTGCACGCGTGACCCCCCCGCCCCCCCCAATAGAGTCGTAGTGATACATGCGATGCCTCATTTTGCCGCTTTCAATTTTTAAAGTAATAGCGCGGGACGTCACGCTTGTTAATTTACTTGTAATTACCGCCATTTCGTAACCCTTGATTCGGGATGAGGGGGGAAGAAGTGGGGGTCGCTAACTTCTAATTTGATGACGTAAAAACCAGAGGCAAATTGGAGACTATAAAAAGGTGGGAGGGCAATCACGCCGCTCGGTTCGCGTAGCATTTCGGGGGCCATGGATGGGGACTTCTGGTTCGTACGTGACATTTGGTTACGCGAAATGGCCCCCCTTCCCAATTGTCAACTCGTGCCGACCCCTACCAAATTTTTTTTTATTAATTTCTCCCCCGCCCCTTCCTCTCTCTTTTTCTAGCATCGCTTCCATGGATCTCACCCGAACCCGAGGGCTCCCGCGGTTTCTCATCGGGCACGTCCCGGTCCCGATCGAGCTCCGGAGCCGGCGACGTGAAGGATCTCGAGGGGGACAGTCGGCTGGTCGGGATCGTGTTAACGGGGCGGACCAACTAAAACCGGCTCACTTCCTCCTCCGTCCTCGTTTTGTTCACGAAAGAAAAAAAAGTAACCCCATGTCCATAGTCAACTCCGCCACCATACACGTGACTATCAATGATCGTTTTATTTTTTATTTTTATAATGATCTGTATTATAATAATCGTATTTTTCGGGGGGGGGGGGGGGTTTTAAAAAAGGAGGTAGGATAAATAAAAAAATCTCGCCCCGCGGTAGTGCTTAGGCGTGGACCCACCCCCATCACGAAACGCGGTGGGGCCAATTGCGTTTTGGACGTATCCGTAATTGTTTTTTTTACGTATTTATTTACGTATTTAATAATTATTTATTCGAGTTATGTATGTATATGTATCCGGGCTTTGTCCCGAAGCGCGCAAAAAAGCTTCTAGAAGCAAATAATGGCGATGGCGACGGCGAAATTACGGGAACGAAACGACAAAGAGCTTCTAGAAGGGGATTCCAACCTTTACTCGCCGGGGGCCCTTTTGTCATTTCCCACCTCTCTCAGGCTCCCTTTTACAGCTAAGAGATTCCCCGATGGGACCACAGAGAGAGAGAGAGAGAGAGAGAGAGATTAGGCGTGATTGCATGAACACTTCGGACACGATTTTGTTTCTCAACTTGGGAACGTGACCCGACATTGATGAATCTTTTTTGTATTAAAGTTGCTCGTGTAGGATCGCCCCACTCGACGCCGGTCGCATAGAATGTGGATGGGTGACGGAAAGAGCGGGCGGAATTCGACATGAACCCGCGATGACGGTCGCGAACATTCTCCCTTTTTCGGGCCGGATCACGGTACCCGCGAACGTTCGCCCCGAAAAGAAAGGAAAGGAAGAAAGGTGGTCTTCAGAGGCATCTCGAATGCCGTACGTTCGCTATCGTCGTTGCTCGAAGCTCGATTGATTTCGCGCGGTTTCTTCTTTACGCGCGAAGATGGCTCCCATAAGAAAGCAATGGCGATGGGACCATAAGAGCGAAAAACACAAGAAGAAACACAACAAAAGGAGAGAGAGAAAGAGAGTTTCTAGAAGGAAGATACGAGTGAGCATTCTTCTTTTAAGCCGAATTGCGGTATACCCACTATGCCCCTAAAAAAAAGGAGGAAGTAAAAGTAGAGTCTTTAGAGGCATCTGAACTTTGTATTCACTGCCTTCGTCCTTCCTTCGAAAGAATCGAGAGCGATCGATTTCAAGAGATTTCTTCCTTACGCACGAAGATACTTTTTCGCGGCGGATACATTTAGAACCGAAGCCGTCTCTCTACGGGGGGCGAAACGGGTCATTTCATAAACAATCTCGAAGCGGGGCGGGATCTCTTTCTTACTTCGGAACACTTTGCAAACATCTAAGCAGCCGCGAAATCAAAAGCCCCAGAAAAGAATTGTGAAATTATACTTGGTGGCGAACGCCGAAAAAGAAGAACGCACTGCGTCGCACCAAAACGTGGGGTTTCAAAAGCCAAGAACTGAACTGATAATACTATTTTCGCTTTTATCTGGTACAGAATCGGTCATTCGGTCAAGCAAAAAGGTGTCCAAGTTGATCCGAAAGAGGGGATAGGGGAAGTGGGACTTGGATTCATTGAGATCCGTCCCTACCACATTATTCGCCACCTTGTGGATGATCATTCCTGTCTAATCGAAAGGATGGTCCCCAGGGAAAAACCTCGCAGATCTACCCCCGTCGTTCTGCTCCGCGCGATAGGGACGACTGATCAAAAGATCGAGCTTCCCCCCTTTTTCCAATTTGCCTTATCCTAGCCGATGGAAGGGAAGATGCTTTTGCCATTCGTGTCTCTTGGTTTTGGCCTCACCCATCATCGGGTCCATTCTTCTTCCCCTCCCCCCCCTAATCCTTTGCCAACCTTGCCTTCTCTCTCCTCGTCAACTCCTAACGCCCGGCTCTTCGCGTGGCGAAACGGATACTTTCTCGATCTGTTAGACTGCTTGTGTTAGGCAAATGAGTTCGATACTGGGACGCTATTATTGACGACGGAAAGGGTTGGAATCGAGCATTACCGGTAGTAAGATGCACTCGTGGAGTATCGTCGCGATTCGGTTGGGGTTGAGAGATCGATAGCTATGTGGACGGGACAAGGATTCGCAAAATTGAGGGAAAATTATCCAAAGAGTCGTGAACCTATTGTACTTTTGCTAATTCGATACTAAACTTTTCAATTTTGTCAATTGAATTCCAAATCTTTTCACATTTTTCTAATTGAATCCATCGCACTAATTTTGATTGGAAATCGCTGACGTAGACGCCAGTAGTACTAGATCTGGCGAGGCTAGTCCTCGACCTCGCCTGGTGTCGCTTGGGCCGAGGCAATGTCCGACGAGGCCACCGTTGCTTGGGCGAGGGTCGGCCTCACCAGATTTGGCGAGGATAGCACTCGCCGGCCACCGCTCGTGGCCGGTGGCCAGTCCTTAGCCACCGTTAAAAAGAATAGGGAAAAAAAAAGAAAAAAAAAACCAAAAGAATTCAAAAAATTATTTAAAAATATCTATCATATAGATTAATTACAACTCAATTAGAATCAAAGCCCTTCACTTTTTTGCCTACTCAAATGAGATAAAACTACCATCCGGTCAAATTGAAAAAATTTACGAACAGCGCGGAAGGTTAGAAAGAAAGCCAATCGAGACTAATGCAATCTGCGCTTCTTCTACTATCGAAAATGGAAATTCAAGTTTCCTATTTTCTAGCCATGGCCTTGAAATATACGGTCCCTTATATCCTTGTGGATAGCGGAGAACGGCCATCGGATCAAGTCTGTCATAAATTTAGATTCTTTCCTTGAGATGGCTCCTCAGGAAGGCCCTCAAAAGAGAAATACTAGCATCAGCGAGCGCGTGTTATGTATCGCGGTATGATTCATGCGAGTTAAAAGTATATAATATACATGGGACCAAAATTACCAGAAAAGTGGACCAAGGACTCTTAGCCAAAATGGCAAGGAGAAAAAGATGGGATGTGGGGGGGAGGGTGGGGCCACGATTAACATAGGCCGGCGTCATCTAACTTAGAAACACCTACACAATGGTCAGCTCTACAGATAGTTCCAAGCTCTTGCCCTATTTAATGACATTCGAAGAAAAATCTCGAGTCCGACGGGTGGGGCTTCAATAATTCCTGCATACAAACATGTCCTTTTGCAGAAGTCTCCTTTTGCTCCACGCCCAACAAATATGTTCACACGCTCTGTTTTCCAACAAGGTCGACAATAACATTTCTATCGAACTCCCCTCTCTCTTGTAGAAAGTACATAGGATTGGAGGCCATTAGAACTATTCATTGTGCACTCCTTTTTCTTCTGCTCGGTTACCTGAGGAACAATCTATCCTGCGCATATTGTTCCTAGGAACACTGAGTTGTGCACAAACTGTTGCGAAAACCACCCGTTACACCCTGATTCTAAAGTCTTCGGAATTCGTAGGTTGCGGTGTTGAGTTATTCTCGCTTGACGAACAGTTTAGAGAGGCATCTCATTCTCATCGATCTCTGACTCGGCACATAGGTGAGCCATGTCTTCGGCATATGCTGCAGATCTTTTCTTGCTCTCAGATTACGTAGTCTGTCAAAATGCCAGTCCGAAGGAAAAGTTACCACGTCCAGTGTCTACTTGTCGAAAAGGTTGTCGTGAGCTCTTGTAGATTTCTGAACATCTATTGTCGTGGTCGGCTTAGTCCCTTCGATTTCCCTATAGCAATGTACATGTTCGATTCACATGACGTCAGTTGGAAGAGGCTGATCCACTTGTAGAGAGAGACAAGTACATGAATAACTACTGCCATCATCATATGTTTATAGCATACTTCCAGCATTCCCGCCAAAGCAAAGACTGGCTTGAGTTGGGGTAACCAGAAGTCAAGAGAGCGCCAAAAGGAAAAGCATTGTATCGTGAAGGATTCAAACTTGACATGATATGAACAATTTAAAATCGATTTTGCCACGAAATTTCTGTTACAATGTGTCAGATACTGTGTAAGGTTAAACTGGTTAGGCGTTTGGATTTGGAGATTCTACCCTACGAGGTGCACAACTCAAGAGGCGGGAAGCATGACCAACCTGTAGTATGGCTAAAACCAATCAGGCCGTCGTCGCATCCCATTCCAGGAGATGGTGTCCATTTTCGCGCTTGTAAGATCGTCTCATCAAAACTCGTTCCGTTGTGGAGAAGTTCCAGACCACTAGTTCCCCTGAATAGTTTTGCAGCATTTCGGATTGAGAAACGATGCCGATATCAAATGTGTCCCCGACTATCTGTCTTCTTCCTCATCAAATTTTTTGCCCCTGCTATCTACACCAATCACATGCACCACACCATGATTCTGTTGAACGATGATTTGGTCCATCAAGTCGAATTCATAGTACCGCCTTTTTAGGTCCCTCTTCCTGGAGAAAGCATGTAATATCCATTTTCACTTTAAAAGTCTTCAGGTTTGTTTACATGGTACATACAGAGAGGGCTTCCTAGAACAATGGATTCCATTAACTCTCCATGGATGAACTTATCTTCTGCAAAACTATTCGGAGAGGGAAAATTTTCCATTAGTCTCAATCCTATTATTAGTCATCCAGAAAAGGCGATCGAGTTATACCGTCCTTTCCTTCTTTGGGGCTTGAAACTAAAACCTTACAACTCAAAGAACACCAGAATGCCCCATCTCAACATATCCGTGAATAACTCGATCTCAACCTTCATATGTGCTAGAGCTCTGGCTATTCTTCATAATCCAACTTTTCACGGACATCATTGAATCCGAACCATGCCCTTGATTTGCAGATCTTCATGAAGTAGTACCAAGAGATCGCGAAGACAGTCAACACGGCACTCAATATGTATACAATTTTAGAAGCCACGGACATCACATAAACCAAAAAGCAAGATGGAACCAAGCACATGATCACGAGACCCGGCATTGCCACGGGCACTTTGAATGGCCTCTTGATAGCGGGCAATTTCTTCCGTAACCAAAGAAATGACGCGAACTCCAGCAACATCCCCAAACTGTACAAGAAATTCACAGTGTAGATCAGGTCCGCGAAGTCCATGTAAGAAACCGACAGCGCTATTAATGTGGAGATCAAAATCGCCACCCAGGGGGTATTGAACCACGTGGATCGCAACCCGAATGACTGGGGCAAAAATGCTAAGTCCGCCATTCCCAAAAGCTGATATGCGCAGCTACTCAACTGTGCTTCGAAAAGTCCCACGACCGACAGAACCGCACCGATCTCGATCCAGATCTTGAGCCACTCGCCGGCGATCAACTCTCCGGCATCAGCAAAGTACCCATCAACCCAATCCTCTTGATCCAGAGGGATCGCCCCAATTGCAGCCAAAAGAGGCACCAGATAAGCCAAGCAAGCAAGCAAACCAGCAGAGAAGAGTGCCTTAGGGTATGTCCTCTGGGGGTTCTCAACTTCCCCAGCTAAAGTACTTGCACTGTCCCAGAAATTCAAGTTCCAAAAGAGGGTGTTGAAGAAAAGTGTCCAATCCTTAGCCACACCCACCTCACCCAGACTGATCCACCTTTTAGGATCAATCTTGGGAATTGCAAACAATGTCAACACAACAAAAGGCGAGAGAGATACAATACCCAAACCAACTGCAGTGTAGCCCACAATGCTTAAACCAGTGTAATTCATGAAAGACAGCACCGAGGTGAACAAGAAGATGGCGACGTACCGGGGCACGCCGGAGGCGAAAACCGAGAACACCAGCTTGAGGTAGTCCATGCAGAGGGCAGGGTACGAGGCCAGGTTGATGACGCCGCACAGGAACTTCCAGGAGCCCAGCAGGGAGCCCCAGAAGGGCCCGAATGCCCGGTGGGCCCAGATGACATAGCCGCCATTGCCGGGGAAGGCAGTGGCAAGCTCCGCCGTGACGAGGGCCTCCGGGACGCTCCAGATGAAGGGGAAGGCGATGAAGCCCAGGATGGCGAAGAGCGGGCCGGCGGCTCCCACAGCGGATTCCTCGCCGTAGGGACCGCCAGCAACCTCGAAGTAGATGAGGAAGACGAGGGGGAGGAGGGCTAGTTTCTTGGAGGCAGCGGCAGGGGCGATCGGGCGAACGGGCGGATCGAGAAGCGAGGCAGTCGCAGAGTGATCGGAAGGTTCCATTTTCAGTGGATGAATGATTGGTCTGGAAGCAAGATCCAAAGAGGTAGAGAAATGGAGGTAAATGGAATGACAGCGTCACGACTCAACGTTCAACGGACACATTGATTTGACTTACAGGTAAAACGTCCCTTCTTTTTCTTGCTTTCCGTGAGGGGGACATGGTCAGGTTGGTGATTCCGGTTGGTACACTCTCAGCATTGTTGAAAATTCCATTTCTTTCGCATCTTCTTTTTTTCCTTTGACAGCACCAGTACTTGAAAGAGAGGTACATTATAAAGACAACTCGTCCTTGATTCATTCAAAGAGACTGGAAAAGACACAATGACAGAACTGGTGTCTGAAGTGGTGTGTGCATGATGTGCTCCGATGCGCAATCCATGAGTTGACCGTTCTCTAACTCTTTTAACTTCTTGTGATTGAAGATGACTGTTCTGTAACTAATTTATGAAGTTTCTTGTTGGTTTTCTTGGACAGAGCAGGGAGACTCTGTAGAAAATATTGTTCATTGCCAAATTGAGATAGTTGAGAGCAAGTTGGGAAGTTTAAATAAATTTCCCACTTGGTTGGAAACGGGATCGATTGATTTATCTAATATGATTTCTTAGATGCTATCCTATCTGGCAGATTCATCCTCCATTTTCGCGCCACTCGGGACTCAGAGAAGAGATAATGCAGAAAAGTGGACACGACATTTTGTTTACTTCTAAAAACAGACAGCAAGAAATGGCGGGGGATTTCATTCCATTACGTGCCACCCATGTGCTGCTTCAGTACAGACAATATCCACACCTCATTCGAACAATAATTAAGCTCCACATGTGATAATTGATAATGACAAAGATTGCCGAAAATCATCCATCCAAAGCACCAGATTGGGAAAGAAATTTTTAAATTGAAACAGCTAGAACTAGATGAACTCAAAGATGAGATTTTGATTGTGATTTGAAGTTTCCTGCATATTGCTGTGTTTTAGTCTTGTGCGACTTCAACATCACTGATGTCGAACTTGAAAATCTTCCTGGACTTGCAGAACTTCATCAAGAAGAACCACCCAATGCCACCCAGCGTCATTAGCCCACTCACCAAGTACACAACCTTGGTCGCGATCACCATTATGACCACCAAGAACGCGGACGGTATCAAGCACATGACCACCAGCCCCGGCACGCCCAGCGGTACCCGGTATGGCCGTTTCAGCGACGGGAGCTTCCTCCTTAGCCAAATGAACGCTGCGAACTCGAGCAGCATCCCAAGGCTGTACAAGAAGTTCGCCGACGAGACGATGTCGGTGAAGTCCATGTAGGAGACGCCAATGCTGATGAGGGAGGACAGCAAGATCCCCACCCAGGGAGTGCCGAACCATTTAGACCTCACGGCAAAGAACTCGGGCAAGATCCCGATATCTGCCATGCCAAGGACCTGGTAAGCACTGCTGCTGAGCTGGGCCTCGAAGAGCCCGATCGCCGACAGCACTGCGCCAACCTCGATCCAGACCTTGAGCCATTTACCTGCGATCATCTCAGCTGCAATGGCATGGAACCCGGACTCCCACTCACTCTGGTCCACTGAGACAGCACCCGTCACGGCGAACAGAGGAATCAAATAAGAGACGCAAGTAAAAATCACCGCCACAAGAAGGGCTAATGGGAAATTTTTCTGTGGCTTGTCCACTTCTCCGGCGACTGTGCTCACATTGTCCCAGAAGTTCAAGTTCCAGAACAGGGTGTTGAAGAACAAGTTCCAATCTTTCTTGACACCCTTTTGGCCCAAGCTCCCCCACCTGTGAGGCCTAATCTTGGGGATGGCGATCAAGGACATTAGTAAGAAGGGCATCAGAGAAACGACGCCGAGCACGATCCCGGCGACCCCAACGACGTTCAGGCCGGTGTAGTTGAGGAAGGAGAGGGACAGGTTCGAGAACAGGAGGGCGAGGTATCGGGGACAGCCCGACTCGAACACGGAGAAGATCTTCTCCAAGTAGTCGATGCAGAGAACCGGGAAGGCGGCGATGTTGATGACGCCGCTGAGGAACTTCCAGGTGCCCATGAGGGAGCCGAAGAAGGGGCCGAAGGCGCGGTCGGCCCAGATGACGAAGCCGCCATTGCCGGGGAACGCGGTGGAGAGCTCGGCGGTGATGAGGGCCTCCGGGACGCTCCATATGAAGGGGAAGATGGAGAAGCCGAGGAGGGCCAGCAAGGGTCCCCCGGCTTGCACGGCGGGCTCTTCACCGTAGGGCCCGCCAGCGACCTCGAAGTAGATGAGGAAGATGAGCGGGACCAGGGTGAGCTTCTTGGAGGCCGAGGCGGCGGGAGCGGCGGCCGCGGTGGTGATGGGGAGCTCAGCCGACGGGTTCCGCTGCGCGGGTTCTTGGCCTTTGGGAGGTTTTTGGGGCGATGAGAGCGGTCCGAGGTTTCGGGAGGAGTGGATTTCGGGGCTCATCGTCGAAGGAAAGATTTGGTGTTCACTAATTCATCAATGGCCGCATTGCTGAAACTCAAGTGCTAACTGTAAAGCAGCAAAACATCACTCTCTCTGTCTCTCTCGCATGCGACGACGGAGAGGTCAGCATGGGGCGCAGCGCAGTGCGTCCAAATGCCAACGCAGTTTATATGCAAGATTCTATTCGGTACGTGGTGCCTAAAAACCCCATGGAACATAGCCATAGCCATCGCTGTCTTTGGCAATTTGCAGTCGTGCTTTTAGACCCAAAAAGCAAAGCACGATTTGCGCACGCAAACAACGTTTTCTAAATAACGAAGGACAGGGGAAAAGGGCGCACGATGATGATGATGATGATTACTCGATTAATCAAATGCACAAGAGGACGGGGAGTGGATGTGAAACGAAAGCCGGGGAGTCAACAATGGTCAGCCCATGCCGCGCGGGGTCGTATCAGCATTCAAAAAGCTCGAATCATCGCGACAACCATGCGTGTTCAGACGATTAAAATAGAGAAAAAGAGGTTCGCAGTGTGCCAGTGTCTCTAAACTAATGATAAAAAAAAGAAAGCTTCGAAAGCACAAAATCGAAACAGGCTTTGAAGGGGGATATGTGGGGCTTTGATCCGGACCGGCCCGAAATAGCCCGGTTCTCGTTGTTTCGGGCCGGAGTACAGTTTTTGGGTCTCGGCCCGAAATAGCCAGGTTTACTTGGGATGAAGTCATCCACATCGACATGTATACGGAGTAGCGATATTTTCAGATATGTAACTTTTTTTAAAATAAGTATTACTGCATAATAGAAATTTGTGGATGGTAATAATTTCTTGTAAGTGCAGATAGAATTAAGAAGTTATTTACTTGAAGATAGGATTAGGAGGTTATATTTTCAATTTCAATAACCATTTATAACTATCGATTGCGGGTTATAAATGGCCGCATTGTACTCTTTGTAAAGGATTCACAATCATCACCACGACCGCGTATTTTTTTAGTTTATCGATTTATCTTTTCATTTCCTTGCATTTACTTTCTTATAGATCGATTAGTTCTAGATCTTCATCATGCATTCTATCTTCAGTTCGAATTGTCACAGAACCCGATCCAATAAGAATCGAATATCAACCTTCGTTAAATGGTATTTCATTGCATGGAGTCATTCCTGTCGAAACATCCCGTGAAGCTCAATCTTTGTCTCTTAAATGAAGTGCAAGAAAAAGGGTTCGGAGCAAACTTGTTCGAAGCACTTGGAAAACAAGAACGGCTGGTGTCGAGTATCACTTTTTCTCATGGTTGGCAATGTTTCTGCACTCGCAAATCCAAGTGCTTTTCCCGATACTCGAATCCAGACCTCGACCCTATGCCCCGTCGCACTCTCTCACGATCCCACCATCCGCCTTGTCCGTCCCGACTAGGCCGATAGTAAGCACGTTTCCATTGAAACAGGATAGTGCCAAAGAAACATCGCCATTGCAAGTGAAGTCAGGAGAGTATTCAACATTCTTCTAAGAAAGTACAGGACAGGAGGTTAGAAGGCCAATAACAAGTCTTCTTCCAGATTCTGAGTAGGGCAGGTCTGATTCCATCGGTCCATGGATAATACTCAGGGATTCACGTCATTTTCTCTTCAATTCCGAGCAAGATAAAGTTACCGTCTTCAGCATCTAGCCGGATTGATGCTGTTTGCCAGTTCCTACTAACCCAAAAGCATAGTCCAAAAAGGACCAGATGGTCTATAAGTTGGGTTTGTAACAGACTTAGAACTCACTAACCATTATTTTCCCATAATTATTGAAGTTTTGTTTATTTATTTCACAAAGTTTGGTACTTAGAAGAAATTTATTCCCGAAAACGCCTCCGTTCTGGGGACCAAGTTATATACAAAGAGGGACCTAATTCTATTTATTGCCTATGTATGAGGAAAAGGAAAGGGATTGTCCTTTTGGCCGCTCCTGGCTATAAGGGGACAAATGGACCTTGTCAATTTGAGCAAGTTCAATTCCAAGGGACTGTCCTGTCTCTTGGGTTTCCCAATTAGTTTAATTCCAGTTGGAACTATTAAAGAACTTACGAGACTACAAAGCTGATGCATGAAACGACGAAACAGATGGGTTCAGGTATAAAGAACATTAAAGAAGGTATCTTCTTGGATTATTATTCTCATTGATGCAGCAAGAACAAGACAGAGCTAGGAACAATGCCACCACCTGGAAATGCTCCTGTACCAGACAAATCCGCATCTCTGAGAACAAGATTGCACCACCTAAACTTCTGTTAAAAAGAATAATTCGGTGGGAAGCATTTCCGGTTCTTGGTATATGCCCTCGTCGAAAAATATTTACGGTGGACAAGGCCAATTACAGTGCACGAAGAATACCTGAACACGTGCTTTTCTTTTTTCAGGTCTAGTGTAAGTGTTGTTATCTCTTGATAAATATATGGTTCCATTGCATTGTGATCATAGCATTGATAGTTAATGTGCTTCATTTTTCTGTTTCTGTTTTTCCTTTAAGAAAGAACTTCATGGCTCTATTCTAATAGACAGCAACAGGCTAAACTTAGAAGCTAACTAGTGCTTGTGAGAGCTTCAAGGATCAAATTGACTGTTTCCCTATGTTCTTATGTTTGTGGATGTCCCAAGAGTTTAATCTCCTAGTTGGTGTAACTATCGATAGTTCAAGTCACTCCATTTTGTCGGCAACTTAAGAACAAGTCCAGGAGTTGCTCTTGTTAGTCGAAAGGAACGGTGATTAGCCTTTAAAAGAAAAAACAACTGCTGAAAACAATGGGCCCGAGATATATTAATATTGTGCCTCTTCCGGTGTCCCTTCTTACACACCAAACTGGTTTTCCTGAAGATTGCAATATATGTGAGTATCAACCATCATTGTAACTTCATTAGTGCTTTTCGGAGAGACACCACAGGAAGGAGGGGTTTACAAGGATAAGGATATGCTCATGCTTGTGTTCTCTGCATATTTTTAGGTCAGGCTACTCGAATCAGGCTGTTTTCTTGAGTGAGCAACTCTTCTTTACATTTTCCTTAATCCTCTTCGAAGAAGTTATTCGAGAGTTTGAGCCAAATGTGTTCGACGTATTCTCCGATACCAAAGCCCTTCCGTACGGTGATTATTGGCAGGCCGAGCACTCGGAAATCTGGGGTTTTAGTAAGAGCCCAAGTGACGGTCGCTCCAAAGAGTTCCGGCCTTCACACTCTCCCTGAGCTGCCAAAGCAAGTGATTTCTCTCAATGATCTGCAGTTGGTTGAGATTGTCGAAAAGCAGTCTCGAACCGGCAGGCTTTTCGCAGAAAGTGAGCACCGGAAGCCGCAGTTTCAACCGGCTTTTCTTGATGAGGCCTACGAAAGGTGTCGGAAGCTTTGCGCCGAATATGCTAAAACATTTTATCTAGGTGGTTATCTCTAAATTTTTCAAACGGACATTGTATTTTCAACAGATGACATTTGATCCTAATGTCATCAATTGTTTTACTTTTTCTTTGTATGAATTATGAGAGGATTGGCAGTTGATTTTTCTTGAATGTTCCTTGATGCAGGAACTTTATTGATGACAGAGGAAAGGCAGAAGGCTATATGGGCAATATACGGTAAGGACTAAGAATTAACTAGAAGTCATGTGACTGTGAGTGCTTTGCAGAGTAGCTAGACCCAGACACCAAAGTCATTTACTTGACCTTAAGAGTCGTCTCATCACGGAACTTTCTAACACTCTTTGCCAAGAACGATCCAAAAAAATAGGTTCCTCCTTTCTGAGGTTACGAAAGATCATTCTGGGACATGTGATCATCCCTTTGTCACTGAGAAGGATTGTTTTTGCTTGCAGTATGGTGCAGAAGAACAGACGAATTGGTTGATGGTCCCAATGCCACCTACATGAGCTCCACTGTTCTCGATCGGTGGGAAGAGCGACTTCAGGACTTATTTGATGGACGCCCTTATGATATGCTTGATGCTGCGCTTACGGACACCGTATTCAAATTCCCCTTAGACATTAAGGTAATGATTTTTCTGCACATTGCCTCAACAACTTATGTGTGGATAGGAAATGAATCATTCTATTGTCAAAGAGATCGATGTTTTATTAGTGCTTTAATGTCATGGTTAGAGATAAATAAAATAGGATGTCTATCAAAACAACTGGCATGAGACTTTCAGGGAATGACTTGAATTGATGCAAAATGTTGTGCGTTGCTTTTGGCAGCCCTTTAGGGACATGATTAAGGGGATGAGAATGGACACAAGAAAATGCCGCTACGAGAACTTTCGAGAGCTTTATCTATACTGCTATTATGTCGCTGGAACGGTTGGCCTAATGAGTGTTCCGGTGATGGGAATTGCACCGGATTCTTCTGTTTCCGCTCAAGGCATATACAATGCAGCTCTGTATTTGGGTATTGGAAATCAACTAACCAACATACTCCGGGACGTTGGGGAGGAGTAAGTGTTGTACCCCTCGGGTTATATTATCTATACTCCGCTTGCCTAGTTTGGATTTTCCTCATCAATGAACTTGCTCAAATCCATATGCTTTTCTTTATTTCAGTGCTCTGAGGGGCAGGGTTTACCTTCCTCAAGACGAGCTTGCGCAGTTCGGGTTAAGCGACAAGGATATTTTCTCAAGAAGGGTGACTGATGGTTGGAGGGAGTTCATCAAACAGCAGATCACAAGGGCGAGATTTTATTTTAACATGGCCGAGGATGGAGCTTCTCATCTCAACAAGGCCAGCCGGTGGCCAGTAAGTTACGATGACTTCATTCTTTGATCATAAGAAAACGCAAAATCAAAATTTCCACCATCAGGGAACACACTTCATTGCCATAGACATCAGAGCAAGCAAACTTATTAGTAACAAAAGCAAACAGATATGTTTTACTATGTTTCAAAGTTGTGTGTACTGATGCTTAGATGTGGCGGGGCAAATTGCAGGTGTGGTCATCGTTAATAATATACCGCAAGATCCTGGATGAGATTGAGGAGAATGACTACGACAACTTGACAAAGAGAGCTTATGTTGGGAGGACTAAGAAGCTTCTTACTTTGCCACTGGCATACAGTAAAGCGTTTTCAAAGGCTGCCTAG